GGAGAGGAGCCTGATAACTAAAAGATCTGCCTCCCATTCTACTTTTAGAAATTCTAGGAACCACTAGTAAACCTGCAGATTGAGAGCGAAGTGCTCTGTTAGGAACATAAGGAACAATCAGATCTCTGATATAAGATGGTGCTTGGCCATTTAAGGCTTTATATGTGAGAAGGAGGATTTTAAATTCTATTCTTGATTTAACAGGAAGCCAATGAAGAGAAGCCAGGATAGGCGAGATATGATCTCTCTTTTTAATTTTCATCAGAACCCTGGCTGCAGCATTTTGGATCAGCTGAAGGCTTTTAACTACAGTTTGTGGACTTCCTGATAGTAAAGAATTACAATAGTCCAGCCTTGAAGTAACAAATGCATGGACTAGTTTCTCAGCATCACCCCTGGACAGGATATTTCTAATTTTTGCAATGTTCCTCAGATGAAAGAAGGAAATTCTAGAAACCTGTTTGATATGGGATTTAAATGACAGGTCCTGATCAAAAATAACACCAAGATTTTTTACTTTATTATCTGAAATCAGTTTAATCCCATCCAAATGAAGTGACTGGCTAATCAGTTTCTTTTTCAGAGACTCTGGTCCAAAGACTATAACTTCTGTTTTATCTGCATTCAGAAGCAGAAAGTTAAGAGTCATCCAGGTTTTTATGTCTTCAAGACATGCCTGTAATCTATGTAATGGGTTAGCTTCATCTGGATTTATAGACAGATATAGCTGGGTATCATCAGCATAACAGTGGAAATTAATCCCATGCTGTCTAATAATTCTACCAATTGGGAGCATGTATAAAGTAAAGAGAATTGGTCCTAGCACTGATCCCTGTGGTACTCCACAGGTAACCTTTGAGCGTGTTGAAGATCTATCATTAACATGAACAAACTGAATTCGATCAGATAGATAAGAACAATAGTTTTATGAATAATTTGAATATTTTATCCCAAGACAACAGGCAGTCAAAGTAGTCCTCCCATTGTCCATGTCACACAAATATCTGTTTGTGAATGTATTATTTGAGAGTTTCTGCAGCGTTTTAATGTTTTTAATTTGTTCTATTTTTATTTAAAATCTGTTTATATGTTGTAAGTTATACACTGCTGTCCTTTTGGACTGTCTTGGAAAAGAGATTTTAGATCTGAAAGGGACTACCCTGGTTAAATAAAGGTTTAAAAAAGTATTAAAGTATCATTACTTTTTTGCTTTAAATTTTACAAATAAGAAAAAACTATAGAAAAATTAGAAACAGTTGTACGCAAGTAAAATTGTTTTATTTTCCTCTTTTTCTCAATGTGTTGGTAGAGAGAGCAAAAATAATATTTCAGTCTAGTTTTGTTATAAATTAAGACAACAGACAGAAGGATATAGAATAAACTGAACAAAAGTTCTGCATAAGCAGTTAAATACATTGTAAAACTCTGGTATTCACAGTGTTAACATTGCAAGTAGCTTTAAAATGAAAATAGAACTTGAAACATAATCAACATATAAATTTAAATTGTATTAAAAGCACAAAGGATCCATCCCCTGCATTGTTTCCCAGCCTCCTGTCTTCATCCATGTCACTATCAATGTTTTATAAACAAACTGAGCTCCAACTGGACAGATTCTTTTCTTGATTTGTATTTTTTGTTTGTTTTTTCACTTATCACATTCAATTCAATAAATTTCTTTTTAGAACTCAAAAGAGAAATTAAATGTTTAAGTAATACACTTTTCAATAAGCGACTGTATATTTTGGTAGCTGCAGGCAGGAAGGGTCTTTTGTATAGGTTTGTCTTGCACCAGATCTGGAGAATCCTAAAAGACTCGGTTGTCTCCTGAAGAGGATGCTAATGTTGTCCATAATGTTCTTCATCTCATTAAGAATTCTTCTTTGTGAAATAATCTCCAGAGGTTCTAGAGGAGTAAGTAGAACAGAGCTGGCCTTCTTTATTAGTTTGTTGATCTTCTTTTAGTCATTTGCTCTGATGGTAGGACCTCAGCAGATGATTGCAGAAAAAATCACACTCTCCACAACAGATTTATAGAAGATCTGCAGCATCTTACTACAAGTGCTGAATTACCTAAGCTTCCTTGCAATAGAATAGAGTAGAATAGAATAGAAAACCCCTTTGTTGTCCCACAATGGGGAAATTGTGGTGTTACAGCAGTGTATAAAAATATCAGTGACAGATTTGAGAAAATAAATAAAACACTGCACAATATTTTACAATAAATACTGTGCATCTGGAGAACAAATAATCTATATACGAGGATTGAAGTTCAGGAAGTACAGTCTGCTCTGTCCCTTCTTGTAGAACCCTTCACAGTTGTGTCTCCAGTCCTGTTTGTTGTCCAGGTGAACACCAAGGTATTTATACTCCTCCACCACCTTCACTTCTTCTCATTTAATCTCAGTCAGATTCAACTTGTTCCTGTTTCTTCCGATATCTACAATCATCTCCCTTGATTTATTTATATGAATATTGTTTCTGCACCATGCCACAAAGTGCTTCACCAGCTCCCTAAGCTTATTCTTCATACCTGATGGACCCAACAGATTTCTGCTGATGGTGTAACTGATTCTGGTACTGGACGTCCAAGGTGTACAGAGTTAAAAAGAATAGAGAGAGTACCGTCCCCTATGGTGCTCCTGTGCTGCTGACCGGTTGATTAGACAGCTGACTCTTCTAGCAAACAGTGGCCTGTTTGTCAGGTAGTCTTTGATTCCGGTGATTGTTGATGCCTGCATCTGAGGCTTCTGGAATTTATCCCAAATCTAATCAGGCAGATTCTTGTTAAATTACAGCTAAGCAATAAATCATACCGATATGTATCGCAATAGACTGTCCAATTCAACATAAAATATGGTATTATGTGAGATGTAGACAGAGGAAAGGATTGTGCTTCTCATGGCCAAAGTTATGTTTAAATGGTATTAGGGTTACAATTTAAATTCTTATTTTAAATAGGTGGAAAACCCTCCACTAATTTACATTTATCAATATGGACTACGGTAATACGAAAGGCTTATATAGTCATACGTTTTGTCAGTTATATCACAGAGCCTTATGTTACATGCCTTGTCTTAATTATAGTGGGTTTGTTAAAACAGCTATGATGGCATCTTCAACTCTAGCTCCATAAGCAAACTGCAGGGATTTCTGGTAGCTGCTTGCTTGCTCAGGTGGACCAACTGGAGTCTCTGTAGGACCTTCAGGATGTGCATCAACATCTATAAGGAGCCAGCACAGACAAAGTAAGAATTAGAATGCATTTGTGTAGGGAGTAAATGTAAAAAGTCAAAATAAATACCCAGGTAAAGTAGATACCAAAAAAACTACTTGAAAACAGCAATGAAGTATTTATAATTCATTACTTGACACCTCTGTATGAAAGACACAAAGCCTTTACTTTTGCCTGGAGATGCCAACGTCTTGCACGTCTATTTCTGAGAGAAAGGTTCTCATGTGGCCAGAGGCGTAGCCGGAACATTTTTATAAGAGTGGCCAGGCAATAACCAATGTACACAGAGGGGTGGCCGAAAGCGGATAGGCGCCAGAACCTCAAGGTCAATCTACACTGTTAGAACAGGAAAATTAATGAGCACATTCATTTTCTAAATAAAGACAAAATATTCTTTCCTACAGCCTTTGCTAAAAAATAGATGCATATATTTAAACATCTTCCTAGATAAAATGTATAGTGGATACAATTGTTTCAGGTTTGAGATATGGGATAAACATTAGTCATAAGTTACTTTTATCAATAATCATTCTACAAAAATATATATTTACAAGTACTAATATCTCCATAAATTGATTATTTAATACCCTTTTATTAAAATAGTTATCTATCATTTCACTGAATACTATATGACTTGCAGAGAGAAATCATTTTCTCTTTACCTCATATAACACTAGTAGTGAAAAGAGCATGAATTCTGTACTTATTATCTTTGATGTCAGCACATTGATGTGCATAATTCATCACAGTGTTTTTTGTTGTCAAGTTAATGTTAATATATTAAAAATTTTAATGTTTTGAATATTCCGCATGAGAGTATTACTGTTGCCGCTGTCTGTATTGGACGGGGGGGGGAAATGGTAGGGGTGGCCATTAGAGGTGGGCAGATCGATCCTGGGATCGATACTATCGATTCCAACTTTAGTATTGATATACAACAATATTGGTTAAAGAAGATCAATACTTTTTCTTCTCTCCCGCACGCACTAACTACAGCAGACTGACCAGTCTGTCCGCTGGTGTTACATCACTTTGCTGCTCCCCCTTCTCCTCTCTTCACCAGCTCAGCACGCAGACTCAGCATAGCCCCGCCCACTCGGCTATCTCTCCACTCCACACATACAACTGCACTGCTGCTCTGCAGCGGAGCAGGAAAACATGAAGAGGGAAAGAAGCGGCGTTTGACCATATTTCAATAATGTAAATGAATCAATGGCAAGCTGTATGGTTTGTAAAAAGCAGATTAAATGCAGTGGAAACTCAACATGAAAAACCAACAGGAGCAAGAAAACGTCGAGCTACAGAAACAGAGAAGAGACGAAACTTCACTCCTTGCCTCAATAAATAAAAAAAATACATAAAGCTGAAATGTTAAAAAGTATCGGTATCGTATCGATATCGGTGATACTGACCCTGTATTTACTTGGTATTGTTACCATTATAAATTCCTGGTATAGCCCACCTCTAGTGGCCATGGCACCCCCGTCCCCCCATCTAGCTCCGCCCCTGCATGTGGTATGCTGGGGGGCTCTAACAGCTGCAAAGTGGCTTCTGCTGGGGGAATACTCCTACACGCAACAGATATTCGTATAATTTCCATTGTGACTGTATATTTTCCAGTGGTGAGCAGCATCTACCTGGGTGGTCGGGTGCACCTGCGTGCCTCTGCAAGCTATGTCATTAATTAAAGCGCTTCTAAAAAAGTCAAAAAGCACGCGCAGTGTCCCACGTGCTGTCCTCTCCCGTGGCTCCACAGGTAGCGTGTCTGTGCGTATTTTTCTTTAAAGGTGCCGGATTAACGCGTAAAGGTAATGAGGGGTCAGAGCTTTCAGGGTTTGGAGAGTCCTCTTTGTGAACTTGTTAGAGGAGAGAGAGGGAGAGGAGAGAGAGAGAGAGGGGCTGAACCATCCTCTCCCGGCAGAGTGCGTCCCGCTCCGCTCTCACACCACTGGGACTCCTTCTACCATCAGGCATCTGACTGGATCATCTCACCGCTTTCCTCTATCTGGATATCTCAGATGAACCATATACCCGATTACATTCAGGCTGCAGCACATTGTCTCCTCTATTTTTATAAAGTAGTTTCCCTTTTCCAACCCAGTGCTTTTGGATTCTAAAGAACACATCAGCCTGGTCGCGAAACTCTGAGAATCAATCATGGAATTATGGACAAAGTTGGTTTTGTTTTACAGTTGCTGTTTTGGAGCAAGCGCAGACTTCGACGGCAGGTAGGAGCAATTTAACGCCACTGTATTTCGTTAAAATGAGTGATCTTTTTGTATTTAATGAATATAATACAAAGGTTGCTTAGATATTAAAATATCTTGAGTAAAAAAAAATCAACGTGTCGCTTGAACCAGAGCAACAGTCCAATCCATCCAAATGGATCCGCGCGTCTTGTAGGACGCACGGTTTCTCCGATCGGTGCGTTGTTTACATTTGCTAAAGTCACGCCGAGCGGCTCCTGCTTTGAGCGCACAGGCTGATTTGATGTGTGAGGACACTACCTGGTGGATCGTGTTCAAACACGATTCCCATGAGGTGTGTGTGAGAAGACGCCAGACACCAAAAGAATGCACCTTTTAGGTATTCTCATCCGTAGGTAGGCCTACCTCTGAATTAAAGCTGTTTGCTATTTTAATCCTTACACTTACGCACAGTGACACCAATATGCGCTCTGCGTTTGTGCACACCCTTCTGATACATTCCTTCACTAAGATCACTCTGATTGACATGTTATGACCCAGAGTTCATTGCTCAGTGAAGCCAGATTGAAATGGATTTATGGAGCTCAGACAAGGAGAGCCCATCCAAACACATAGAAAGTTACACCACCACCACAAATGTTGTCAGTCGCAAAGTATTCTTCCCCCTTTTCAAATTCTGCTGTTTTAATTCACCTTACTTTATTTTAATAGACAGTATTTGTTGCTCCACTCACAGTTGGGACCTTTTTTAGGTCTTGCATTTGCATATCTACTGAACAGATATGCAGTTTGACTTCTTCATTGATAGATTTAATGGATAGCTTCTTGAAAAAAAATAGTATTATATATATAGTCTTATCAGAGATTCTCAACAGGGTTTAGGTCTGGACTTTGACTTGGACTAAAAGCAATCATAACACAAGAGTTTTTGAAGTTAAAACCATCCAGCGTAGCTCCATCTGCATGTTTGACCCTTTTCTGTCCCAAATCTTCTGCAGCCTCTGACTGTTTTGGTTTTGTTAACCGCCCTCTATTCATCAATCTTCCCATCGACCAGCATCTTTCTCTCTTAAGATAAGCAGCTGGGTAGAGATGTTTTTCAAAATCATCAGATACCTTTTATGAAAAACAATCACATAAGTAGTTTTTTTATTATTATTGTTCTAATAAACAGAAACTATTAAAAATGTTCCATACTGACAAAAGCAGCCTAGCAGAAGATACAATCTGGCTTGATCTTCTTGTTGTGTAAAAAAGCAAACAAAGAAACAAGAAAAATGCAAAAGTCAAATTAGAAAACATTTTTATGCCCTAACCCTAAAAATAAACCTAAACCTAACCATAACCAATGCATACCTCACCCTAATCCTACCGTAACCCAATGGACACCTTTGCCCTAAAACTAACCATTAGCAAAATACCTTGTGAAGACCAGCAATATTTCTTCACTTCACAACAACCGGTCCTCATTGTGATGGTGAAATTGGAAAAGTGGTCCTCACATTGACGCCTAGACAGGTATACCCCCCCATCCTTAAAATTTAAGTTAATTTATTTTTTAACAAAATAAAAAAACAATCATTCTTTATATAAATAAAAATAAATATATCATCTATTTGTGTTTCATTACTGCTTAATCCTACAAGAAGGCTGAACGATTGTGCCCAAAAAATTGTATTTTTTTCAACCAATACTGCGATTTTATTTCGATTTTATTTTGCACTATGCACAGGCATGAGGATAAGCTTGCCTGTCCAGAATCTATTGTTGCAGGATTTACTGTAACCTTTGTGTGAAAAAAATCTTACATCTTCTATCTTGAACGGATCTGCGTGCTAGTTGCAACTCCATGAGCAACCTTCAGAGAAGAACATATTAGCATATTCTAAATGAACAGAAATTTCATTTGAAAGCCATTAAAGTTTATTCTTATATTAATGTCTGCAAAAAGCCCTGACAGACGTTGTCATTTCACCTGCTATATTCATGAGGTGTGCATGTCTATTGTGTTTTTTAAAGCTTATCTTCTCCAACAGAGTCTCTGCTTTAAATAAGCACATATCTGAAGCAATTAGGAGATCAAAGGTTTCAGCCAGCTGGAAAATGTTGTTTCTGTGAGAGATAGAGGGAAAATAAATACAAGAAAATAGGTATAACTTCATATCACAAATATTCTTTCTACCCCTCACAGCTATTATCTGCCTGATAGGGCTCATCAAGAGAGTATTGGTCTGACTTTGTTTAACACTATGCCTTTGTGAAATAATCATTTATTCCAGCCTTCACAGCAGCATATTGTACATTATTAACATTCCTGCTGATGGAGTGGCTTGTCACCATGCTCATAATTTGCCAATTTTTATGGGTATAAACATGCTCAGACTTGAGTCCCTCGCTTCAATATTAATTCATTGAGAAAATATCCCCTGAGAGTAAGTGCGAGCAAGGAAAACATTTATCACCTATTCCTGCTCACTTATTGCCTTTTAGAGAGCATTCCTAACAGGCTTATCCATCTGGCCCTGAAGGGTTGTTTGCATCATCGGTGAGATAGTTCTGCTCTCCCATAGCAGCACATGATATAGTTAATAAGCCTGCGCCAGTGTTTCCACAGCATGCCGCTATTGCTGCTCCTTTTGTTTGCTCATAGGAAGGAACCAGAACCCAGCCAATTACATGTCATAGCAGAAAATACCTGAAAGTGAAAGACAGCATGCACAGTAGAGGATTTTCTTCACCACTGATGTCCTTAAGTTGTTAACTCTAGCATAGCCAAATGTTGCATACCAGACATCCTCTGTCATAATCCAAAGCTTGTGAAAGAAAAGGATGCCAGGTTATGTAGGGATATCGGATCCACATTTGGGCTTTCAGGCGTAGAAGTAAGAAAGTAGAAAGAACAGTCGGCAGACAGCCTGAGGGACCTCATGCACCATAGTGCATGTAGTCCTTATAGTCCTCTTAGGGTTGGTTTTGCTTTGCAAATAGCTGTTCTATGTCGAGCTGTTTGATACAAAAAAAGTGCAACGACATCATGTTATGCATTATTGTATAAAAAAACAGATAAGCTAAAAAAAAGTTTATTTTAAATAAGGACTACACAGAGGCTTATGACATGATTTTATACTGGAGGGATGGCCTCTGGAAGAGCCGCAGGAGTCAGACGTGTTTGCTAATGTTTATGTATGATCCATTTTAAGGATGAGAGAGTTGTCTTTGCACTGGGGAGAGAACAGATGGCTACTTTTTCTCTGACAAGAAATGTTCTGTTCATCTCAGGTGCAAATACATACGTTTATTATACCCTTGTTGTATAAAAACAAAGGTTTATTGTAATGTGTGCGGTGGGCACCATCAATACATCAAACAGCTTATGCAGTATCCCTTAAATCCCATTTATCTATACAAGTTCTAAACCTCTCTCACACTTAGATGGTAAGAAATGGTGAGGGATGACGGGTCAGAGTCTATAACAGCATGGCTGTTGACAGGTTTGTGTAAGGTCTATTTGGGTTGGGTAATTAACCCAGCATGCATGTTTTTGGGGTGGATGCCTGAGAATGCAGAGATGCATTTATTCACTTGGAGATCATCCAATCTTTCCTCAGATTACCTTAATGTGATCACATCATGCTAATCAAAATGCTATGATTTTCAGGACTCGCTTTTATGAACTCCAGAAATGTTTGTTCAAACCCATTTATGTTCAATCATCACGTTAAGTTTATTTGAGTGACCAGATCTGACAGTGTTGTCTAAACAGATGGCTTATAACAAAATATTGCTTTCCTTCAATATCCTGGAGAAACTGGGCATGATAAAGCACAAACAAGCTTAAGTAATAATATAGTAAAAAGAACATGTTAGGGGACAGTTTCGTGGACCTGCTCCTGTGGTGCTGTGCACCTCTTTGCACACAGACTCTGTCAGAATATATCACAGAGAGGATGTAAGGTTGAATTTTAATAGTGTGCGTTTAATGCCTTACAGATTGGTTTATCATCTACTTTGTTCATGTGGAGGTCAAATACTGCTAAGTTGAACATTTCATTTAGATTATGTGGTAAAATTATGAAATCACAAATATTTAACAAGTTCTTAAGAAAGAGGCAAAGGGGGGGAAAAAACACACCAAAAATGTCTTGCTTTATCCTCTTTGCCTTTTTCTTTCTCTGTGTTTTCCCATTTGCAGCCTTAATTTGTTCATTATTGGAACAAACTGAGTTTGGCTTTGTATTTGGAAATTTAATGGTAAAAACCCTCACCACTTTTTAGAAGCTGGTTCACTTAAGACTTTCTGCCATAATGTTACATTTACAGCTGTGTACACACCAAATGTTACAGCACTATTTCTGATTTCTATTCCTTTTCCGTTTTTGGAAATAAGCTGCTTTTTCTTCCACTGCTGATATCTTGAAAACACAAGCAAAACAAGGCTGTTTTTGCACACATAAACAGTAGCTGGTAGCAAAAATACCTGTATTGAGCGTAAATATTTGTGATTAAAAAAATTTTTTTTTTATTTTTTTTGCAAAGCAAGTGATTGACCATAGCTTGCTAAAAGCCTTCTACACCAATGACTGCTAGTTTTTGAAATTACAAAGAAACACGGTAAGATAAGTCACAGATTAATGTGTTTTCATGGGCACTTACATCTAAAAGAAAGATTCTTTTATTATGTTTCTCCACAAAACAGTCAAATTCCTTAGCTTGCAAGTTCTTACAGCTCCTCTTTTCCATGGCTTTGAATAAGTATGAGATACTTAATCGTTCTAAGAAATCTTAACTCTTTTGTGAGTCTATTTTAGATTAAGGTTGTAATCTTTCTGCTCTTTATGACTGTTGATGTAATTACGAAGCCCTCTGGTCAACAACTGATTTTAAATGTGCTGTATAAATACATTTGAAACTGGTAATTAAAACAGATGACACCTTAGTTCTGGATTTGGGGTGCAACTTAGTTCTTAGTTCGACCTTCTGCTCAGGGGTATGTCCATGTGTGAGTAGGTAAACTGTTTGGT